AAAATAACTTCAGAGTAATCAGAATGAATTCAAACATAATTTATTAATCAGGTAATCAAAATAATAATTCAAAGTCCAATCAAACAATAGAAAACAATTAATCAATCATACAAAACAGTCAATAATACCGAAATGAGAGAATGTATGAGTGTTACCTGATAATGAGTACTACACCCAGTAGATGTGTAGGAAATCTGACTACAGATTCCCTGAGCCTTCTGTCACCCTCTCTTAAATATCCAGAAGAACCCCATAGAAACCAAATGGTATTGTCTGTTTATTGCAGAGTTTTAGCATATCTCTTTAGGGGGTTTCAAGTGAATTATCTTGATTTCTGTGGGAGGCTGTACTTCATTTACATACAGAAGGTAATTTGTGTGAAAAACCTGGGAGTAGTCTGTTTTCAATATTTACGGCTACCTGTTCTATTGTTAAGAGAGTGAGACCCTTTTACCAGACACACAGAGACCTTTTAAACGACTTCAAACATGAATTGTTGCATTGTAATAAACTCTGATTAAGAAAGGTGGTTTTGGTGATCTCTGCAGTGTCCTGTGTTCAGGTGGAAATGAGGGGAGAGAGGGGAAGAGTGGAGGTGTGGAGCTTTTGTTTCTCTCAGTTGGGTGTATTGCTTTAGGCTTTAGACAGCTTTAGACAGATTTCAGGTGTTGATTCTCGTGAGAGTTCCTTGTTTTTTCAGACCGTGACCTTCTTCTGATCCAGCCAAATGGCATCAATAATCTTACAGTACTCTGGTCCAGTAAAGCTTATCCTTTTCTGTAAAAGGCAATTTCCTCCATAATCACTCTCTGATGCCCCTGGAGGACAGTAAAAATTATCAATGAGTGTCATTCATCAGAAAGGCTAGTAAGGAAAGCTTGTTTTACTGTTCAGCTTTCATGTGATGAAATGCCCATGGGGCAGTCATATGTAATGAAAATGCTAAGGGAATGCATGTTTTTTCTATAAAAAAAGAAGAAACAAACAGATAATTAACAATCCTATCTCACTGATGATCCAACGGTAGCTGCACAGATCTCAGGCTGCCTGGCGGACATCTCGGCATGGATGAAAGAACATCACCTACAGCTCAACCTGGCAAAGACTGAGCTTCTTGTCTTCCCTGCAACTCCAACTCTACAACATGATTTCACCATTCAGCTAGGTTCTTCTACAATTACCCCATCGACTTCGGTCAGAAATCTTGGTGTAATCTTCGATGACCAGCTGACTTTCAAAAACCACATGGCAAAGACTGCCCGAACTTGCAGGTTTGCATTGCACAACATCAGAAAGATCAGGCCCTTTCTAACGGAGCATGCTGCACAACTTCTTGTCCAGGCTCTTGTCATCTCTAGGCCGGACTACTGCAATGCTCTTCTGGCTGGACTTCCATCAAGCACAATCAAACCTCTACAAATGATTCAGAATGCAGCGGGCACGACTGGTCTTCAATGAGCCCATGTTACACCTCTCTTTAGCTCCTTGAACTGGTTACCGGTTGTGGCTCGCATCAAGTTCAAGACATTGATCCTTGCATATAGAACAGCCACAGGCTCAGCACCCACCTACTTCCACTCACTACTACGAATCTACATCCCCTCCAGAAGTCTGAGATCCGCTAGTGAGCACCATCACAGAGAGGCTCAAAATCACTTTCCAGAACATTCTCGTTCACTGTTCTTGGCTGGTGGAATGATCTTCCCACCCCTATCCGGAATGCTGAATCCCTGACAATTTTCAAACAACAGCTGAAAACTCATATCTTTAAACGCTACTTGACTTCATCTTAATTTTTTTTTATTTATTCCTTCCCTTTTCTAGCTTGTACTTATTTGAACAATGCCTAAAACTTGGTATTTCAAGCACTTCCTGTGTCTGTTTGCCTCTATAAGAAGAATCGCTTTATGTATTCCCCAATTGTAAGTCGCTTTGGATAAAAGCATCTGCAAAATGACTAAATGTCAATGTAAATGTAAACAGTTCTCTGTGAACTTAAACCTTATAATGACTCCTGAAGGGGGCTAAATAAATAGAAGCCAGTGCCCATAGCAGCTCTCTTTTTACTTACTGTGACGGTATCATATTTTGTCATGTAAGTTAGACATAATTTGGGCCATATGAATTCATTTACAAAAACATTTCAATAAAAATTACAAATATATGCTCTCAGTAGATATTGTTTGAAACCGAATAAATCTAACTTTGACTTTTCTCAGTGGTTTTCTTCTTTATAGTAGCACAGCAGGAATGGTCTGTTTAGTTAAGAGGGTGTGGCCATTTATGCTTTTATTCTGGACTTACTGACATTTCAAAGCATTAATCAGTCAGCCATGATTATTTTTTCATGATCCTATGCCTTTATCCATATGAAATATGGCTTGTCAAATAACGGAATAAAAAAATATATAATTATATTTTGAAAATGTAATGGACAAAATCAAAATGGATGGTACAAGCTATATTTATTGCTTTACATATATATATATATATATATATATATATATACAAACACAGTAAGCTCAAACACCTAGAACATTCATGACAAATGTTTAAATAGGAACAACATTTAAATGATAAAGTCATGACAAATAATTACTCACAATATCATACCAAAACAAGGCAGGGCATTTCAACAATCATAAATCAACAAATGAATTAATCATAAAAAATAAAAAAATAAACTAATTTGTAAATCACAGACACAAAGGTGGTGCCACAAACATCAAGCATATGTAGTCACATCTCAATTCAACAGGACAATAAACAAATACAGTAACTCTCTGGTGACCTGAAGCTAAGTGGAAAATGCCACACACTACAGCATATCACACACCTGCTTAAACAAGTGCAATCCAACTACAAAAAGTTATTGGCTGATGCTAAAAAATGGGTCAAATTCACATCTTTATTACATTTCTATGACTTGTTATATATAGACAACAAACCAAAATTAACCAATAAATTTCATACTCAATATTACTGAATAAACAGCACCCATCTAAATTATGACATGTGAAAGATTTGAATTATGAATTTGTTGTTTGGGTGGTTGTTTTCTGTTACAAAACACATATAGTTACTTATATCCAACAAAATGTCACAAATGTCATGTTTTTGCATTTATATTTGAACCATCTAACCATTTAGAGCCATTTCGATAACAGTGATACTCTTGAAACCTTTAAAAATGTCTGGATCTATTTATTTTTAGAAAATTAAGCCTATTGTTGACCATTAAGGTTTTACTGTACTAAAACCAGAAAAACTAAACAAAAGAAACCCACAATATATTATTTAAACTGTAATTATTCTCAAAAGTTTTAGTTTTTTTTGTAGTACAAAAAAAAGCTTAAATTACTCTGTCAATTATATCTTTACTGTAAACTCTTCAATGTAAAACTGTATCTTTAAAGGTACAACAGATTAAGTAAGCTTTAAGTACCCTTAAAATGACAACTTTATATGTTATCTACCCCTAAAAGGTGCATATTAGTAAGAGTGGTAATATTTGTCCTTAAGTTACTACTATTAAACTTTTAGGGGTAAATAAGGTATAAAGATGCTCCAGTGATAAGGTGTTGTACCTAAAGTTTTTTTTTTCCTGAGAGAGTAGAAATCAATAACCCTCTAAAATTTGTATTCCTATAATCATATTTTCACAATACTGTCAATCATTTAATATAACATTTTTTTTTTGATTTTGGGGTGAAACTGGACATGTTTCATGAGATTCATCCTTTAACACATCATCCATTTCTTTTCTATATTTTTATCTTGAAATTATATATTTAAATTATTCCCTAATTTGAAATCTTAAGCATATTTCATGTCAAACACGTATAAACTAATTTTACAGATTTTCAAAATGTATTTTTGTTCATTATTATCATTATTATTTTAGATTGTTTTAATTCACTATGACGATGTTTAGTTGATAAAGTGCAAGAACAGGTTTGGAATACATTACAGCAGGATAACAGGTGCTAAGGGAATGTCTTGGGGTACAACACATCTCACAACCAGCAGAGAATTTTAAAAGATAACCAAGAATCCAGACAAATAATTTGAATGAAAAGATGTTTGTGTTTCTCAACTACCTGCATGCTATAAGCTTATGGGAGCGAGTTTTGAAGATATCATGCTGCATCTTTATTTAAGTTTTTCTTTACACATTCTCTCCTTTCCCCCATGGTGTACTTGGGGCAAGTCATTCTATATTCCCTAGAGAGTTATCCACTTCCTCCTCACTAGGGCTGGACTCTAGCCCCATACCCTCTGTTTGGGACAGCTCATCCAGCAGCTCCTTTCCCGCCTCTCCAGCTCGAGACGCCCATAGCACAGCACCCTGTTTCAGCCCGATGGAGCGAAGCATCTTAGCGTAGTCCACAAAGGCCGCACCTATAAACTTATGTGGAGATGCTGTGGTTAAGGAAGACTGGGAATAGAGAAGTAATATAAGTAAAAAGAAAAAAAGTGTAAAGACTAAGTTACTACTTACTACATACAACCTACTGTCACCCCTAAAATTATTTGGAAACTTAAGTGGACACCAATACACATAAGCAAATGGTGTCTTGTAAGCCAGGTTTTTGCATGGCAAAGAACCATTTTAAATGTAGAAGTGTCCACATATTGTGTGCTGTATAGCGTACCTTGCCAGTTTTGTGCGCTTACTTGGCCCTTTGTTGTGACAAACAGTAAAGTGTGTTCAAGCACCAGCAAAATACATGAATAGTGTAAAGAAATACTCTTTAAGAGAACCAGTCAATCAGTGGAAGTTAAAATCAGTGTGTAAGTATATTTATTTCTTGTCTCATTAGTTTTTGCAGTTGTCATTGCTAGGAAACACTTGTTTTGTTTACTGTGTTGAGACGTGCTGAAGTTGCGTTTGGTCTCGTGCTGTATCGCATACCTTATCAGTTTCGTGCACTTGTTATGCTTGGAGACTTAAATGTCCACCTAGATAGGGTGCAGGCTGCAGACTTCCACACTCTGCTTGCCTCTTTTGATCTCAAGCAAGTGTTAACTATGGCTACTCACAAATCAGGCAACCAACTGGACCTTATTTACACACTACACTGCTCCACTGATCATGTGATGGTTACTCCACTGCACACCTCGGATCACTTCCTCCTCACTCTTAACATCAACATGGTTTCTGACACAACACATACCCCTCCACATGTCATCTTTCGATGTAACCTATGCTCACTCTCACCCTCTCAGCTATCAGCTATAGTTTCATCTTCGCTTCCTCCTCCTAAACAGTTCTCATCACTTGATACTAACAGTGATACTAACACTTGATATACACTCTCTGCTCCACTCTTTTGTCTTGCCTAGACAATGCCTGCCCCCTATCTTCCAGGTCAGCCCGTACCACCCCTCCTGCCCCTTGGAGTTCTCTGTGAGCATCGTTCTAAGCTCAGGGATGCAGAAAGGGTATGGCACAAACTGTCAAACACATCTTACCAGCAAACATACATATTCACCTCCTTCTCTCCACTCTCTGAGGCAGAAGTCTCCAAACTAATCCTTTCCAATCATCCTACTACTTGTCCGCTTCATCATATTCCATCTCATCTCCTTCAAGCCATTTCTCCTGCAGTTGTACCTATACTCACTCACATAATTAACACATCCCTTCACACTCGTGTTTTCCCCTCAGCATTTAAACAGGCTACTTAAGAAACCCACTCTTAACCCAGCTCTTTTAGAAAACTACAGACCGCTACCCCTTCTTCCTTTCATTTAAAAAACACTTGAACAAGTTGTGTTTAACCAAGTCTCTGACTTTCTCACACAGAAAAACTTCCTGGACTGCAATCAGTCTGGCTTCAGAAGTGGAAATTCAACCAAAACTGCCTTGCTCTCGGTTGTTGAAGCCCTAAGACTGGCAAGAGCGGCTTCCAAATCTTCAATACTTGTCTTGCTGGATCTGTCCGCTGCTCTTGACATGGTTAACCACCAGATCCTCCAGTCAACCCTATTGGCAAAGGGCATCTCAGGAACCGCACTCCAGTGGTTTGAGTCTTACCTCTCAGATAGGTCCTTCAAGGTATCTTGGAGGGGTGAGGTTTCTAAGTCACAGGGCCTCAGGGCTCAGTTTTTGGACCAATTCTCTTCTCTGTCTACATGGCATCACTAGGTTCTGTCATTCAGAAACATGGCTTTTGTAACACACTTGAAGAAGGCAAATCACAGATTTGGCAACGATTTTGTTTTTTTTTCTTTTATTCAACCAGCAGTTTTACAGATTTCACCACAGCGCCATGCAACACAACATCGCGTGAACCACTACTAACTCTTCTCTCGGTTTTTTGGCACACTGAATTCAAAACAGGTCAACCGGGGCTTGAGGTGTGGTCATGAACAAAGGCCAAGTTTATCTAAAGCCCCATTTCCACCACAGGAACTTTCCCCAGGAACTAGGGACTTTTGACCTGTACTCGGTGTGTTTCCACTGCAGGAACCAGGATCTAAATAAAGTTCCTGGTAAAAAAAAAAAGTCCCTGCTCATGAGGTAGTACTTTTCTAAGGTCTGGAAATTTAGGGGGCGGGACTTGTGCGGTGAGCATCACGCAGCATTGTATTTCAACCACCATATTCGCATAATTTTTTTTAAATATTACTGTTATTGTGTAAATGTAGTTTTAAAAGTACTTCAGGTGAGAATGTAGTTGTTTAAAACTCAAATCTGCGGTTTATTTATAAAGTCAGCACCTATTTGAAAATGTGCTTCACTGATTTCGAAACCGTGAGCTCCATGCAATCACCGGGCACTCCGTGCTCATGTTTCCCGACGAGAGCAGCCTCACCTCGGCTAGTACTTCTGACATTTGCCGCTGATGCTACCCCAGATAGTCACGCAGTGTGAAAACAACGGCGATCCGACGAGTTTGAAGATCATGCAGTGTGAACTCGGCATAACACTAGCGTTCCCTATTCTTTTTCTATTCTATATACTTTTTTTTTTTTTTTTATTATAAAAAATAAACCCTTGTGATGTGTACTGCGTTTGGCTAACCGAGACTTGTCACAGCACTAACATATTATTGCCCTTTTGTTGGTTTTGATTGCTACTATTTGATTGCTTCTAAAGGTAATGTAAATGTACATATTTGTTCACTCCATTGTTCAGACCCTGTGAAATTACATTTTTCAAACATTAAGGTCAAGGTGACTCTTAAAGACCCCAGGAAATGATTTGACCATTTTTTTCATGCATTGATGTATTTTGTATTGAAACAGGTAGCTGGAGTGGGACTTATCAAAGGGCTTGTTATTTTGTAAAATACTCAGCAACTTGTTGTTTTTCAAAACTGTGTGATTTGCTGCTTGCACTTGCTAGTCAATTCAGCTGGCATTAAAGCGAAGATAATTATCATTCTAGAGAGCATTGCTGTCCTAATTCTGCTACTTGTATTATACCTTTGTAGGTACTCTTTTTGTGAAGAAAAAGTAAATACTTTTGTTATGTGTAGCAGAAGAGTAGGAACGCATAACTACATGCACTCTGTCACCATAAATTCATATTTAAGTATTACTTTTATATTTTTTTAATTAATTAAATTTTGTAATTTATATTGTATTTATCTACAGAAGCATATGTCGTCAAACCTCAAACTTCTCTAATATGAGCTACTGGAGTCTGTGTGTGATGATATTGCAGGGTGTTCCCGAATAAAGTGAACGGAACTTAAATGGATATCCCGTGCTCAGGGAATAGTGAGCAGTGGACACTGCATAAGGAACCAGTCAATCAGAACACAGCTAATGTCTTCAGAAATGAACACTTTGTACTTTGAATGCTTTGGACAAAATGTATTCATTCAGTTGGGCAAGGGTCTCCAAACTCGGTCCTGGAGGGCCGGTGTCCTGCAGAGTTTAGCTCCAACTTGTCTCAACACACCTGCCTTGACGCTTCTAGTATACCTAGTAAGACCTTAATTAGCTAGTTCAGGTGTGTTTAATTAGGATTGGAGCTAAACTCTACAGGACACCGGCCTTCCAGGACCGAGTTTGGAGACCCCTGCATTAGGGTCTTTTGGGTTACCATTCATTTTTGAAGCAGCATCTTTTGGGCACCCCTTGCATTATATGGTCTCAGAGAGTTGGATTACTTTTCTTTGTTGTAATCTTTGTTGTATTAATCTGAGAAAAGAATGTCATAGACATCTGGGACAGCATGAGTGTGAGTAAATAGCTGTGTTTCCACTGTCGGGCCAAATGAAAGAATGCTTGTGTGTGCCAGGGCCAGTCGCGTTTCCACTGTCACTTCCGGGGCTTGATCAGGCCACCTCTGGGTTTCATCAGGGCCAATGACCAGAGTTTTTTGGCACACTGAATTCAAAACAGGTCAACCGGGGCTTGAGGTGTGGTCATGAACAAAGGCCAAGTTTATCTAAAGCCCCATTTCCACCGCAGGAACTTTCCCCAGGAACTAGGGACTTTTGACCTGTACTCGGTGTGTTTCCACTGCAGGAACCAGGATCTAAATAAAGTTCCTGGTAAAAATTTGCCCCTCAGAAAGTCCCTGCTCATGAGGTAGTACTTTTCTAAGGTCTGGAAATTTAGGGGGCGGGACTTGTGCGGTGAGCATCATGCAGCATTGTATTTCAACCACCATATTCGCATAATTTTTTAAAATATTACTGTTATTGTGTAAATGTAGTTTTAAAAGTACTTCAGGTGAGAATGTAGTTGTTTAAAACTCAAATCTGCGGGTTATTTATAAAGTCAGCACCTATTTGAAAATGTGCTTCACTGATTTCGAAACCGTGAGCTCCATGCAATCACCGGGCACTCCGTGCTCATGTTTCCCGACGAGAGCAGCCTCACCTCGGCTAGTACTTCTGACATTTGCCGCTGGCTCTGATGTCTCTGCAGTGGTTAAACATAAGATGTAATTCGTTTTGGGTAAATCTAACAGGTAATCTTTGGTCTTTATTCTGTTAATCTATTAATATGTTAAAATGAAAATTAAAAGAGGCAGTACTGTTTGATATAATATTTTGTTTCATTGTAATGTATGTAGGCCTACATTCCCTGAACTACATTTCTGTGGCTATTAATATGTTTAAATGAAATTGAAAACAGGCAGTGGTGTTTGATATCATATTTCATCTTATTGTAAATACAGAGAGACCCCTTTAAGGGCGGGTTTTAGAGTAGCACAGCTTGGCAGTCATGGCCTAATGTTTAGAGAGTTGGACTTGTAACGCAAAGGTTGCGGGTTCGAGTCTCAGGTCCAGCAGGATTTGTCGTTGGGAGCAGTGAATAACCAGAACTCTCTTCTAGCCTCAATACCACGACTGAGGTGAGGACCCTTGAGAAAGGCACCAAACCCCCAACTGCTCCCTGGGTGCCGCAGCAATATGGCTGCCCACTGCTCTCTGTGTTCACAGTGTGTGTGTTCACTACTGTGTGTGTGCTTGGATGGGTTAAATGCAGAGCACAAATTCGAGTATGGGTCACCCATACTTGGCCACACGTCACATCACATTCACATTGATTTAGGCTTTGAGGTCCGAGGCCCCACACAGCTTGTTGTTAGCCTTGGCTTGCACTGGCCTGACAGTGGAAAAGCAGGAAATTATGAAAGAATTTTCAGTTTTAGGTGGAGTATCTTTTAAGATTAATCTACTTTTAGATAAGATGTCAAAATATTGTTTGTCTATCCATAAACATTTATGGATTTTAGTTTGCAAACAAACAAACAAAAACATTTTATGCAACATTAGTTTACCATTTTTATGACATTAGTTTTAAAATGAACATAACGCTACTGCATCTTGCTGTTTGAAAAACTAGTAGATGCATTAAAAGGATATTAATGTCGTCATTTGTCTCCATCACACCATATTTCAAGCAGGCTTCAATAAAGAGTGCAGCACGGTCGAAATATCTCATGCTGTCAAGAAATGTAAAAATATATCAGAGACATATCTGAGCATCATGCCCTTTAACATGCACATTCAAATGTCAAACTGGTGGATGCTGCACTTTTTAACAGGATGCCTAGGATATGTAATTTTTCTCCAAGATTATACATAAAACACAGTGCCTTTCACAAAGAGTTTAATGGCATTCAGGCATGACACATGGATATTCTCAATAAAAAATTGATTATGCAATTTTAAAATAATTCTTCAACCAAAAATGAAAACGATAATTTAACCTCAGGTCAACCCATATGACTTACTTTCTTCCATAAAACACACAAAGGAAAAGTTCTCAAGAAATGCCAAGCTGCTCTTTTTCGATAATGAAAGCATACTGTGATCAGGGACTAGAAAAGAAAAAAAGTACTATAAGGTATACAATACGTATCTTCCTAAACTTCTGAAGAAAAATACTGTATCTTTGTGTGATGAACAGAACTTAAACAGATTAAGTTCATGAGGAACTTTGTATCATTCACTGACAATCTTTCTCTCTTCTGTAGGTCTCAAATCTCCATCTTTTTTTAATAAAAAAAAAAAACTTGGCATATGCTGTGTCAGGTTTAATGTAAACACACAGACATTCTGCAAAACATTTCCTTTTGTATTCTAAGAAAAAAAACATATGGTTTTGAAACAACATGAGGATGAGTAAATGATGACATAATGTTGTTTGTTTTTTTATTTTATTATGTTATTTTACGCTTAATTCCTAAAACAGATTTATTCCTAAAACACATTTTAATGGATGGATGGGCAACATAATACTCTGAATGGGCTAAATGACAAATCAAAGAGAAAAGGAATGCATGCCTGTGAAGCGTATTAAAAAACGTACGAACCAATGGTTAGGCAGCGGAGCTGCACGAGCCTATGTCGACGAAGCCCGCCAAGCCTGCCAAAGCCTGCCAGAATGGGCGGGGCGTCTGGCTATATAAGCGGGAATTCGCCACAGGATTCTCAGAGTTCTTCTCCTTCAGTGACGACTCTACACTCATTGCTGATCCTGAAAGCCTGCTCGCCGTTGACACGCCTTTTCAGCAGGAATCGGGACCTCTCAGCACAGCTGACCTGCTTCTCCGCCGCTA